GTTTTTGCATAAAAATTTTTATTACAGAACTTACTTGCTATTCTAGTTATTACAATATATGGTTAAGGTTGAGTTAGTATTGGAGTTACCATGATTTTTTACTTTAAGTGAGCAGGATTAAACTTTATACTTATACTATAATTTATTGAACGATTAAATAATTATAGTTAATAATACATGCATTTTTCTAAAACACAATCATTAAAGCAAACAGAATAAACTTCATACTCACCCTGGTGATTTCATCAAATAGATAAATAATTATAATTAATAATACACACATTCTGAAACATGATTTTTAAAATAAATAGAATTAAACTTTATACTTATCCTGGTGATTTCATCAAACAGATAAATGATAATAATATATATATTCTCCTAAAATATAATCATTTAAGTGAACAGAATTAAACTTTGTACTTACTTTGGTGATTTCATCGAACAGATAAATGATTATAGTTAATAATACATATATTCTCCTGAAACATGATCATTTAAGCGAACAGAATTAAACTTCATATGTACTTACTCTAGTGATTTCATTGAATGATAAATGATTACAGTTAATATTATATATATTCTTCTAAAACACAGTCATTAAAGCAAACTAAATTAAATTTTGTACTCACCTGGTGATTTCATCAAACAGATAAATTATTATAGTTAACAATATATACATTATTCTAAAACATAATCGTTTAAGTAAATAGAATTAAACTTCATACTCACCTCAGTGATTTCATCGAACAGATAAATAATTACAGTTATTAATACATACATTTTCCTGAAACTGATTGTTAAAGCAAACAGAATTAAACTTCATACTTACCCCAGTAATTTTATCAAATAGATAAATTATTGTTGCAGCTGAAGTTAAAATTAGGAACCCTGATTTAAAAGTATAAACTATACCAAAATCTATTTATACTTTTTTATTATCAAAACAACTACTAAACCTTAACTTAACCCTAAAAAAAACCTCTAACAAAAGGCCCCAAAAATTTTTAAAAATTTCATATTAAAATAATTAAAATTTCTAGTTTTAGCTATTTCTAGCTTTAGCCGCAACAATTATTACAGTTAATAATATATATATTTTTCTAAAACACGATTATTTAAGCAAACAGAATTAAACTTTGTACTTACTTTGATAACTTCATTAAATGGATAAATGATTATGGTTAATAATATATGTATTCTTCTAAAACACGATTGTTAAAGCAAACAGAATTAAACTTTGTATTTACCTCAGTGATTTCATCGAACAGATAAATAATTATAGTTAACAATACATACATTCTTCTATAAACAGAATTAAACTTTGAGCTCACCCTGGTAATTTCATCAAACGGATAAATGATTGTGTTTAATAATACACACATTCTTCTAAAACACAATTGTTAAAGCAAACAGAATTAAACTTTATACTCACCCAAGTGTTTTCATCAAACAGATAAATAATTACAGTTAATAATACATACATTTTTCTGAAACATGACTGTTAAAATAAACAGAATTAAAATTTGTACTTACCCTAGCAGCTAGTGATTTATTAAATAATTATCACAATTTATATATTGATTACAAATTAATGTTACAATAATTACCAACCAAAATTTTTTTTCACAATTTGATCCCATTTTTGGATGCAGTTAATCAATAATTATATTTTATATAATTTTTATCTTTCAGTCTACTATAATCTGCATCAATTAATAATTTGGTTATTTTTTATTTACCAATCACAATAACATAAAAGCATTATATACAGATTATTGTAGACAGAAGGATAATACCATTACTAGGCGTATAAGTGAACAATAACTGCATTATTTGTCAAAGATATGTAAGATGCTATTTAGCCACTATCGCAGCCATCTAGCATCTAACAAATATTAGTCGAATAATAATGTTATTGTTCACTATATGCCTAATAAACTATATATTATATTTTAATATATTTTAATAAATTTCAACTATCAATATAATATTTGTATATAAATTATTTTCTACGTTTTAATAAATTTCAACTGTTGAAATTAATTTTGGCATTTTATTTTTAAAAAATCTTTGGTGAAATTATTTTAATAATTTCTACTATAGAAATTATATAATTTTACCTCTATCTATGGACATAGTGCAAAACTCATTAGAGTTTACTGTACAATACCACAAATTTAATACTACTTGCATGGCCCATATTTGATTGGGTAGATTTTTATTATTATTATTTTTATATTTAATTAATATAGTATTGATATATAGGTATATATATATTGTTATTATATAGTTTTTTCTTGAATATCTGAATATGATTACAAATATAAAAATTTTTAATTTACTACATAGTGAAGATTTTTTTACTATGTGTTAACGAATTTGATTAATATAGAACCTCATAAAAGCTTCTACCAATATTTTAGAATCTGGTATAGCAATTTTAGTTAATTGTTATATATATATATAATAAAGTTAGCTGCTGCAATATATCAGATTTCTGAATTCAACCAATTTAAACTTGTTGCTGTTCAAGTATTCAATCGACATTATATAGAATTTCAACACCCTTCATATCTTTTATGTTATTATCTTCATCTATTCTATTATGGTACAAATTTTAATATTTTATATTGTTAAATTACATATTAAATAAATAGTTATTAATATTTTTTATTTAGGATATGGTCTTTGAAATGAAGTATTTTGTAACTATAACAGCATCAACAATATGAAAAGAATTAGGACATACTAAGCAAGAATATAAAGAGCTAATTTCATGATTTTGGTATTTTGATGCCAAAAAAAAAATTTTGACCTGCCTTATGTTCAAGAGTTGGATACTCCTACATTGTAATGGGGATCTATTAAAAATTAACCATATCACCTTTTTGAACTTGCTTTATGACTTTTTAGCATTTCACCATTACAAGCAAATTGTGAGTGAAACTTTTTGATTCTCAAGTGGTTTGTTGGTAATAAACATACATGTCTTGGAATTGACAAACTTGAAGGAATAGCCAAAATCAGGTCATATAACCTGACAAATATATGAAATAAGCTTACCTACTTTAACTCTGAGTTGACTGAAACAGAATTATGTGAAATGGTAAAGCTTTTAACAATTATATTGTAGACGATGATAAAGCAAACAGAAATAATGATACATATGAAGATCTAAGTTCGTTATCCCGGATGAATTTAATTTTAGAGGACATTGTAAATCTTCGGGATCCAGTTTTTCAAGAAAGAGAATCTGTACCATTTGAATTTCCTGTTAATACTGTGGTGGATACTACGGCAGATACTGGCGTCAAAGATAGCAATATGAACTTTAATCCTGAAGATCTTGTTGACGTCGTTTTAAATATTGAGTTAGATAGATATTAAATAATTGTTATTACGAATTATAAAAAAAAAAAAAAAGAAAAAAAAAAAAATGTAATGAATTTCAAGCTAGCTAATTATAGGGTTCCAAAATTGTATTGACAGCATGAATTTTATTTAAAGTAATATAAATAATATACCGTACGAAAATAATAGAGTATTATCATATTATTTTTATCATTTTTTTTTAAAAAAGGTTTTCATCAACTATAAAAATATACATCCAAGTGTTATGTGCTAAACGCTAGACACACATCAAATGTTATGGCATATGTCAATTATTATAGCATATGCCAAATGTCACGGCATATGCACAATTTTACGGCATATATGAGTTAAGGCTTTTTGACATATTCGTCATATCTCAAGTTACGGCTAAAAAAGTTATGTCACCGATCATATTTCTGCACCTATAGTCATGATGATTAAATTAACTGGGTAATATAGCCTATAATATTTTTAATTTAAAATCCTTCGTTATTTTTTTTATCGAATTTTCAATTATTATTGCTCGGTCAGATGACTTTATTAAACAAAATGAAGAACATATGGGAATCCCTTCGCTATCTCTAAAGCTCTACACATCTCTAGAAATCCTACACTTAGAAACCTAAATTAATGCTAAACAGTCCAACCCTAATCCTTCCTACTAATCAATCTTCCCGGAAACGATTCTGTGTTATCCTAACCGACCTAGCTATTTTCTCAAGAAAATAGTCTACAAGGAGGGAAAACATAGCTTAAAAGAGAATCGGCCTGCAATGATTATACCATTCAAGAGAGGCAAAGGGGTCTTTGCACTGATAATACAGCCGCAGAGCCCCATCATCCTATGTGGGTGTGTTGAACCCAACTACTAAAATAAGGTCCTTGCACTGCCCATTGCAGCCGTGGAGCCTATAATACTTACCAGTATCACTCAACTTTCATTTGTATCTTACGAATTTATTGCAAGTTGGGCGGGAGAGGGTGGGAGAAAGAGCCGGCCTTCACTTCAAGGCGAGCGATAGCGAAAAGAAAGATACAAACTTCTAAACAGCCCAATTATTCTTAAATACCTTCTCACGAATATTCGAAACCTTATCAGACCATACTTAGCCACCTTTTACTTCTCTAATCATGAACAACACGAACAATCATATGTAATTAAAACAATAACCAGAAATAACCTGCATTAACGAACGAACCCGGAATTTATTTCAACTGCCATAAATGGCTAAAACAAAATGCATAAGAGATCTATAAAGTCATCTGATCTCGCAATAATGATCGCCCCGTCACTTTGTTGACGGGCTTTTCACTTATAAAAATAAATGTCTAAATTTATACCTTTATGACCATTTTACTTAGAGTACTAAGTTATTATTCATTATTAAACTTTAAATTTTACATAATATACTGCAAGAACTTCGATTATGATGCAACAAATATTTAAAAATTGTTACTTGTGAATTTTATCGCAAATAAAAAAAAACTTTAAAAATGCAGTATATATTTATTAGTTTTTTATAGATTTACAAATTATGTGTTTGTTTTAAGCCTTTGAAACTTTATTAAATAAAATCTAAAAATTTTTTTTTAATCTAAGTATTTAGATAATAATTAAATACATTTTCTCATTCATCAAGAATTGAAAAATTTTGTGATATAGAATCTAAAAAAAAAAAAGGTAAATCAATAGATGCATATTTTTTAAATCAAATAACTAGTAAACATGACACTTGCCATAACAAGTTGAACATTCTGCAGATGGAATCAAAGATGAATCGACTGGTTTAGAAAGAATTTGAAAATTAAGAAGTTTACTTGTAAGTTTAAATCGAGAATAATTTTGCGATACTTGTAATGTTGGAATAATTGCATCTGCAGATCGAAAAGATTCATTTATGGCTAATTCTTCATTATTTGATTTCAAATTATGACGTATAATATAATACCAGCTACTTAATTTTTTATAAATATCCGATGCAGTTGGTCTTTGTAAAGGGTTAGCATCCATACATTGGTTTGCCAATTGGATATAGCACTCTGGTGTGCCTTTAGCACATTCTGGACGCAAACCATTACATATTTTAATAGCTAGACCTTCATCATAATCAATATCGTAATAAGGTGGTGTTCCCGTAGAAATTTCTGTCATAATAATTCCAAGACTATAAATATCTGCTGCATTTGTGTATGGTTGTTTGGTTAATACTTCTGGTGCAACATAAGATAATACACCATAAATGCCTTCTTTCACGTCAGATTCATCTTTTCTTCTGGACAATCCTAGATCTGTAATATAAGATATTAGAGTCTCATCTGGATATTGATGTTGTAATATATTACCACTGTGAAAATCACAATGAACATATCCTGCTTCATGTACTTTTTTTAAATCTTTTGATATGTCTGTGAGCTGCTTTAGTTTATATTCCCATTTAAGTTTTTTAAAATCCGATGCTAAGAAATCATGAAGACTTCCCTTATTTGCATATTGAAACACTATCAAATATTTATTATTAGTTGTGTTTCGTGTTAGTCCGTACACTTCAAGTCTACTACCAACTAATCTAAATTGCATAAAATTTTTAAACTTATTAAATAATAAGGTATATATATATATAAGTAATCTACTATAATTAATAGGTTAATAAATCAGTTATAAATAAATAATTTAACTTACTTCTCTCAAAAAATCTTTTTGAGAACCGGGCATTGTCTTAAGTGCGACTACAGGTAAGAATGTTCGTTTCCGCATGCGTTTGTTACCCATACTCAAAGTTCTTTTGCCATCTAACCAAGTTGCTGAATATACCGAACCGAATCCACCTTCACCAATCTTTTCAATTTTATCTAATCTATCATAAGGGATCCATTCAACTACATCATCATAAGACTCAGCACTAAGTTGAAATTCTTTAATGCAATTATCGACATTATTGTCTCCACTTGTCCATCCTTGGGTTGTTTCAGGAGGGTCACAAGTTTGACACCAGGCTGTAGAAGTGTTATATTGATTGCAATGTGCACATACTCCATTATTTCGATCTCTTTTAGAATAAAATTCATCAAGTACAATCATATACCCATTGGTAGCTGTGTTTTGTGTCATCCCATATATTTTATACTTTTTATCTTTTAATTGTACATAATCTTTAAACTTATAAAATGTATTAAAAATGTGTAATTTTGATTTTTTTATTAATTGAGTAATAAATTTTAAATAAAAGTGTTAACTTACTTCTTTTAAAAAAGCTAATAAATTCTGAGAGCTAGGTAATAATTTAAGATTAACTCCACACGATGATGTACGTGATTGCGTGCATTCTCCAAATTCACCTGAAATTATTCGTATACCATCTAACCATATTGCTGAAAATATTGAATCAAAATCATTTTCATCAATCATTTGAGTGTTATTTAATCTATCAAAAGGAATCCATTCTATTACATTCTTATAATCTGTAGTTTTAAGTTGAAATTTTTTAATACAATCATCAATATCCTTATTTCCACTTGTCCATCCTTGAACTGTTTTTCGAGGGTCACATGTTTGACACCATGTTTTTGAAATATTATATTGATTGCAATTTCTACATTTTCCGTACCAATCATTTCTTTTAGAATGAAGTTCATCAAGTACTATCATATATTCATTAGTAACTGTGTTTTGAGTTATCCCATATATTTTATACGTTATATCCTTTAATTGTGCATAGCTCTTTAACTTTTAAAACATATTAAGTAATTATAAATATTTTTATTAATTAAAAGTCAAGCATAAAAAAATAAGTATAGATTTTAAATAAAGGGTTGACTTACTACTTCTAAAAAATTCCACGAATTCTGAAAGCCAGGTAATGTTATAAGAACTACACCACATGGTGGCGTACGTGACTGTATGTACCCATTATATTTATTTGAAATCATTCGTATACCATCTGACCAAGTTGCCAAAAATGTTGAATAATATTTACTTTTTTCAATAATTTGAAAGTTATTTAATCTATTAAAGGAGATCCATTCGATCACATTCTCATATTTTGTAGCTTTAAGTTGAAATTCTTTAATACAATTATCAATATCCTTATTTCCACTTGTCCATCCTTGTGCAGTTTTTTGCGAGTCACATGTTTGACACCATGCTGGCGAAGTGTTATATTAGTTACAATTTCTACATATTCCATTTAAATGATGCCTTTTAGAGTTAAATTCATCAAGTACTACCATATATTCATTACTAACTGTGTTTTGTGTTATACCGTATATTTCATACTCTTCATACTCATTAGGCTTATAAATAGATAGATAAATAAAAATTGAAAATTTAATTTATTTATTAAAATCGAATATAAATATAGCAATAAATGTTAAATATGAGTTTTAACTTACATCTTTTAAAAAATCCAATAAATTTTTAGAACTCGACAATGTTTTAAGACGTACTCTATACGCTAGTGAACGTGACTGTATACATTTGCCATACCCACCTGAAATTATTCGTATGCCATCTAACCAGGTTGCTAAAAATATTGAACCAAATTTACTTTTATCAATAATTTGAATGTTATTTAACTTATCAAAAGGAATCCATTCTATTACATTCTCATATTCTGTAGCTTTAAGTTGAAATTCCTTAATACAATCATCAATTTCCTTATTTCTACTTGTCCAACCTTGAGTTATTTTTCGAGGATCACACGTTTGACACCATGCTTTTGAAGTGTTATATCGGTTGCAATTTCTGCATTGCCCATACGAACCATCTCTTTTATAATGAAATTCATCATTAAGCACTATCATATATTCATTAGTAACAGTGTTTTGAGTTATCCCATATATTTTATACTTCCTATCCTTTAATTGTATACAACTCTTAAACTTATAAAACATATTAAGTAGGAAAATATAATTATTATATTTTTATTAATTAAAAGTCAAGCATAAAAAGTAAGTATAAATTTTTAAATAAAATTTCAACTTACTTCTTTTAAAAATTTTAGTAATTTCTGAGAGTTAGGTAATGTTCTAAGTTCAACTCCACATGATGGTTTACGTGACTGTGCGCATTTATTATCTACGACTGAAATTATTCGTATGCCATCTAACCAAATTGCTAAAAATATTGAACTAAATTCACTTTCATCAATCATTTGAATCTTATTTAATTTATCAAAAGGAATCCATTCTATTACATTATCATATTCTGTAGTCTTAAGTTGAAATTCTTTAATACAGTTATCAATATGTTTATTTCCACTTGTCCATCCTCGAGTTATTTTTGGAGGGTCGCATGTGTTGCACCAGGCTGGTGAGGTGTTATATCGTTTGCAATTTCTACATTTTCCATTACCATTGCGTCTTTTAAAATGAAATTCGTCAAGTACTATCATATATTCATTGGTAACTGTGTTTTGGGTCATTCCATATATTTTATATTTTTTATTCTTTAATTGTACACAATCTTCAAACTTATAAAATACATTAAATAAGTAAATATATATATATATATATACTTTTATTATTTTAAATAAAATTTTAACTTACTTCTTTTAAAAAATCTAATAAATTTTTGGAACTAGGTAATATTTTAAGACCTACTCTATATAATGATGTACGTGACTGTTTGCATCCATTAAATTTACTTGAAATTATTCGTATGCCATCTAACCATGTTGCTAAAAATACTGAACTAAACTCACTTTTTTCAATAATTTGAATTTCATTTAATCTATAAAATGGAATCCATTCTATTACATTCTCATATTCTGTAGCCTTAAGTTGAAATTCCTTAATGCGATCATCAATATCTTTATTTCCACTTGTCCATATTTGAGCTGATTTCCGAGGATCACATATCTGGCACCATGCTTTTGAAGTATTATTTCGGTTGCAGTTTCTACATTCTCCATTAATACTGTCTCTTTCAGAATTAAATACATCAAGTACTATCATATATTCATTGGTAGCTGTGTTTTGAGTTATCCCATATAATTTACACTTTTTATTCTTTAATTTTACACGATTTTTAAACTTATAAAATGTAATAAATAGATAAATATGAATATAAATATTTTAATAAGTTAAGCATAAAAAGTATGTAATAAATTTTAAATAAAAATTTAACTTACTTCTTTTAAAAATTCTAATAAATTCTGAGAACTAGGTAATGTAATAAGTTCAACACTATATGCTGGTTTACATGATCGTGTAGGTTTATTATCTTTTTTATCTGAAATTATTCGTATGCCATCTAACCAGGTTGCTAAAAATATTGAACCAAATTCACTTTTATCAATAATTTGAATGTTATATAGTCCATCAAAAGGAATCCATTCTATTATATTCTCATATTCTGTAGCCTTAAGTTGAAATTCTTTAATACAATCATCAATATCCTTATTTCCACTTGTCCAACTTTGAGCTATTTTTCGAGGATCACACGTGTTACACCATGCTGGCGAGGTGTTATATCGTTTGCAATTTCTACATTTTCCATTTTTTTCATGCTTTTTAGGATAAAATTCATCATTAAGTACGATTAAATATGTATTGGTAGCCGTGTTTCGAGTCATCCCATATATTTTATTCTTTCTACCCTTTAATTGTGCATAATCTTTAAACATATAAGTCACATTAAATAGGTACAAATATTTTTTATTAATTAAAAAAGTCAAGTATAAAAAAAACAAGTATCAAATTTAAATAAAAATTTTAGCTTACTTCTCTTAAAAATTTTAATAAATTTTGAGAACTAGGCAATGTTCTAAGTTCAACTTCACATGATGGGTTACGCGAGTGCGTGTATTCTTTAAAATCACTCGAAATTATTCGTATGCCATCTAACCATGTTGCCAAAAATATCGAACCAAAGTCACTTTCATCAATAATCCGAACGTTATATAATCTAT